ACATAAGAGCTAGACAAGAACAATTAAATAAATAAATAAAATAAAATTAGTTACAAACCTTGTTCCTCTATCGACTGAAGCTAAACTTGAGTTGTCTTTTAACATTTTCTGTGATCCTTGTTGCCGCTAGCCGTCTACCTGTTAATCAAGCTAAGTTCCGGTTCCATACTTCCGGCTTTAAAGGAAGTTATCAAAATAAAAGCATATGAGCTTAAGAAGAGTTTGGTTAAAAATGAATTTCACCAAAAATAAAAAGTATGTAAAAGTCAAAAAACTGCGCACAATAATCTAGAAAGTAAACGTAGTTTTGCACACTTGTTCCACTAAATCAATTAAATTAAATTGCTTTACATTTACTCAGTTAGGTTTAGTTTGACATAATTTGTTAAAATAAATTCAACTCTTCATCTTTTTAGAGCAGAGTTCTAAAAGTACGAAAAAGGATTAGGGCCACTGAAAACAAATAATAATTCTGACTTTATTCTCAGAATTCTGTGATTTATAAAAATAAATCTGATTTTTTTTACATTTAAGTCAAAATTTGGACTTTTTCTAATAATTCTAAGATTAAATTCAGAATTCTTTTTGTTTTTCAGTGGCCCTAATCCTGTTTTGAATAAAATGATCATCCTTATGTTTTGAATGTAACAAGGTAAAAGTAAAAGTTACAATTAAAAAGTATTTTAAAACGTAAAACTACAGACCCTCAGAAAAATGACGTTCCTGGAGAAAACCCACACAGACCGGAGGCGAACCTCTGACCTTCTTGCTGTGTGACAACAACTTTAACCACTGTTCCACTGTTTTCACAGACAGAACTGTAAGTTTGTTTTCTTTTGTTCTGTGTGCTCTGACCGAAAGCTTCGTGTTTGAGAACACGATGCAGAAGATTTACTGCAGACACTCCTGATGCTGAATCAGCAAAAACCAAACACCTCTATAACTGAACTGATTTATCCTCCCACAGCATCATTAATACACACAACACACAACACAATGATCCATGCATCACACTCCTGCTGGTTTCAATGATTCATCAGCTGCTGGTTCCATTATTGATGCTGTTTGTGTTCAGCAGTCAAACCTCTGAATAATAGATTGAACCCTGACAGTTCTGCAGCTGCTGCTGCTGGAAAATCTTCATTTTATTTGTTTTACACGTCACCAACAATTACCTGTTCCTGAACCATCAGGGCGACGCTGTGAATTCATACCATCCAGTCTGAGAGTTCAGGCTTTTATTAAATCTTAAGCCAGAAAATCAGAAACAAAAAACCCAAAGTGGACCTGAAGGTTCTGAGTGTTTTTAGAGAAAACAGCTGTGGCCTGTTTCTGCTGAACAACTATTTCATTTACTAAGTTTGATGGAGAGAATGTGAATTCATGCATTAAAAACAAATTAATCATCATTATTTAAATAACCTGCTATTTAAAGTTCAAGTTACATCTAATCTATAAATTATGTGTTTTAATTAAATCCTTAAAGTGCCTAAATTTAGCATCAGCTGACCTGAACTAATTTATCTCAAATCCAGAACATTTATCAGTCGTTCTAAACCAAGCATTCTTTGAAAGACTGTACTGTAAACCACCCGCTGGCTTTATGCCAGATTATTTACATTATTTTATGATTGAAACTGACAGAGTTGTAGAATTTTTGATCAGCTTTATGCATTAATCATTATATAAATAACATTGGTTTAACTGGGGGGAGCACACACAAATAAAATAAAAAAAGCACTCTGGATTTGAAAATTCAAGATGTCCGACAGCTAATTCAGCTGTTTAAAG